GAGAGAGAGAGAGAGAGAGAGAGAGAGAGAGAGAGAGAGAGAGAGAGAGAATATGAGAATTTTTGTTTATATGTGTATCCCTGGATCTGAGATGAGGGCAGAGAATCCTTACCTATCTCAGGGGCCTCGCAACCCTATTACTAGAAGAATAGGAACACACTAGGCAAAACCATCTATGTCCACCACATTTACAATAGGATAATAGCCGTGCACTGTGACTGTACCTATAGTTCAGCTACTTGGGAAGCTGAGGCATGAGAATCCCTTGTGCAGCATTGCAAAACTATCTCTTTCAAAAGAAGATATTTGGGACAATATTTATGCTAAAGGATCCTTCTGCTTAGTTGCTATTTTACCCTTAATATGTCACATATTTTCACAGAATTATGATGAATTATGATAAACTGAAGTCACGTCTCGGTGAGATTCATGATAGCAAAATGCGGCTAGAACAGGATTTGAAGAAACAAGCTTTGGACAACCGAGAAATAGATAAAAAAATGAATAGCATCAAACCTGACCTGATCCAACTGCGCAAGATCCGTGATCAACATCTCGTGTAAGTAACGTGGGACTCTATGGGGGGGAGACACCAGCATTTGAGTACTGCTAGAACTAAAGGTGTTAGAGATGGAAGAAGAGATTTCTAATTTAGGACTGGATTGTGGGACTATAAGGATTTAGAAACCCAGCCCTGGTAGTGGGGGAGCAGAGACTGTGACATGACTGTACAGCATACAAATGGCTTGGGACTCATAGGTGGCCTTTGTGCCCTGGAGATGAGGAAGTGCTGTTAGCCATTAATGGTGGTGCCCCCTATAATGCCAGCGCTGAGGAGGCTGAAGTAGGAGGAATCACTGCCAGTTTGAGGCCAGGCTGGACTACCTAATGAGTTCAAGGCCAGCCTGGACTACAAAGACCCAACCTTGAAAAAAGAAAATAAATACATTTTTTAAAAAATGGGTTTGCTGCCAAATGTGGCAGTACATGCCTATAATCCCAGCACTTGGAGGCTGAAGCAGGAGGATCACTGTGAGTTCAAAGCCAGTCTCAACTCTATATTGAGACCCGGTCTCAACAAAACAAAACAAAAACATGCTGGGGATGTAGCTCAGTGGAGACTGTAGATTCAGTCCCTAGAACCAAATAACAACAATGACAAAGAGACTGTGGGTATAGTTTAGTAATAGATGGCTTGTTCAGTATGTGCTGGGTCCTGGGTTCAATCCCCAGTGCAACATCAGTAACAAAGGTAATTAAGTATATACAGCTTGTTGATGAGCTTTGTAAAGGGAAGATGAAAGAAGTAGGGCTGTTTATGTTGTGGCCACATCATGAAGCTGAAGAAAGGCCCAGGAAGGCTGTGCTGTGAAGTGGTGGAATGAATGGAAGCACATTTTTGTCATAAAAAGCAATAAAGCCTTTATTAGGAGATATGCCATCCCAGGGCCATAATTAAGTGAGATATCAGTCTATTCAGTCTACTGTAACAAGAATACTAGAAACAGTATCATATAAAAAGACTTGCTTACAGTTTTGGAGGCGGAGAAAACTTAGATCAAGGCATCAACAGGTTCAGTGTCTGATGAGAGCTGTGTGCTATAATAGTTTTTGAGATACTGATCTGAGTTGTGCTTACATTTTTTTTTCCTATGCCATGAGATGTGTTTTATTTTCACTCAACATACAAATAATTTTCTATAATATCCCAGGGCAAACCAGAGAATTTGGCAGTCCGATTGCGGCGGGGGGGGGGTGTTCTCTCAGAGACCCATAGGCCGGTGGCATCGGTGTGGAATGCCCGGGTTCACAGTGCAGCTTGTGGCTCGTGTCCATCATGATGGGGGGGGGGTAGTCTCGGAGATGACGGGGCCGGGAATCCTCTGGGCTCTTAGGAAGTCTCACTCCGCTTTTCCTGCTCAGTGGTCTCTTTGGTTGGCAGGGTGTTCTCCTGCATCTCCATCTTTAGTTTGGCCTTACTGAAGCTAGTACTTTCCCCCATGTCTGGTTTGTCTGCCATTTTCATAAAACAGTCCAAAGTGTCTCACCCTCAGCCCAAGCTCCTGGTGCTCCCGCTCGCAGTCCTGCAGCAAGAGACCTTTCATGAAGCCCAACAGCCTGCACATGTACATTAAAATTTTTCTTAGGTATATAAATTGTTCATATTTCTTCAAACAAGAAATTTGGTTGTTTATATGCAGTTTGTTTTCATCATGAGTTAAGGTTTATTTTCATGAGTACCATTTACTTTTCTTGATATTTATAAATTTAAATTCTTAATAAAAAGAATAACTTGCCAACACAATATAGGTGTACTAATGAGAACTATGTGCTAAGGGAGTCTGCAGCCCAAGGAGTCCTGGGGAGGGTGTATGTTTCTGGCAACTTTACCAATACATAAGTGACATCTGCACAGCTCACTCATTTCGACGGTACAATTCAGTGCGAGGTGTGATGGCACATGCCTGCAGTGTCAGCTGTTCAGGTGGCTGAGATGAGAGGATCACTTGCATCTACAGGTTCAAGACCAGGTGGGGCAGCATAGGAAGACCACACCTCAGACTTTAAAAAATGTATAATTCCATGTTTTTACAGATATTTGCAATATTCATATATTTTAGAACATTTTAATTACCATACAAAAGAAATGCTGGAAGCTGGGTGTGGCAGCAAAAACCTGTAGCTGGAGGCTATAGCAGAAGGAGCACAGTTCCAGCCTAACTGGGGCACTTTGGTGACTCCTTAGTGACTTAGCAAGATCCTGTCTCACAATAAAACTTAAAAAAAAGAATGCCCAGCACCACCACCACCACCATACACACAAAACATTGTACATGAGTGTCTACAGCAGCATTAATGATAACAGCCAAAAGGTAAGAACAGTCTAAATGTGCATCAGTTGATGCCAGTTACATAAAATGGGGTACATACATGTAATGGAAAATTACTTGGCCATAAAAATGAAGTACTGCAATGTGCCACAACACAGATGGACCTTGGAAACATCATGCTAAATGAAAGAAGCCCAATACCCATTATCCCTATGCCCTGTGTCACCTTATTTCCCCACTCCTAAACAGCCGCTGTTCTTTGCGTCTTTTTTTTCTTTTTAAAAGATGTATTTATTTGAAACAGGGTATCACTACACAGCTCAGACTCATACTAATCCTCTTGTTTCAGCCTCCCTATCACTGGGATTAAAGGCGTGCACCGTCATGCTGGTTCAGTGGCTGGCACAGCGCATAGTACTGGGGATTGAACCCAGGCGCTTGCTTAGACCGCTGAGCTATCTCCCCGGCTCCTTTTTTGCATCTTAATGTATTTAAGTATTCATGACATTCATGTAAATGGAAGCATACCATGTAATCTTTTATGACTGGCTTCTTTCACTTAGCATGATGTTTCCAAGGTTCATCTGTGTTGTGGCTCATAGCAGTACTTCATATTTATGGCCAGATAGTTTTCCATTACACGTATGTACCCCATTTTATGTAACTGGCATCAACTGATGCACATTTAGACTGTTCTTACCTTTTGACTGTTTTTATTAATGCTGCTGTAGACACTCGTGTACAATGTTTTGTGAGCAGATGTTATTTTGGTTATTGTTATTATTATTATTGTTGTTGTTGTTATTTAGTACTGGGACTCTTAATTTAGGACCTTGGGTTTGCCAAGCAGGCACTTATGCCTCTGAGCTATATCCCTTGAGTCATATCTTAAAATATTTATAGTATCTCCCCCCGCCCCCCAGTGCTAGGGCTTGAACCCAGGCCCTCACTCGTGTTAGGCGGGTGTATTTTAACAATGAGCTACAACATGAACACTGATAACTCTAAGTAGTTAAAGATGGTTTTTCTCTTCAAAGTAATACATATAGTATCTCACTTTACTCTTATTTAGGGAATATGAAATTTTGTCTACAAAACTCAATATAAGACAAGTTTGAGTTTTTTTTCATTTGAAATTGGTTCATTCTAAACAGCCAGCTGCCTAGTTATATGAGAAATATTTATGCATTTTTTCTTTTTGAGACAGGGTCTCACTCTGTATTTTAGGCTGGCCTTGAATTCATTTTGTAGCCCAGATTGGTCTTGAACTTGCAGAGATCTTCCTGCCTCATCCTCTTGAGTGCTGGTTTTACAGGTGTGTGCATCACTGTGCCTGGCTTTATATAGAAATTTCTTACTGGGGCTTTTCCCGTTTCCTACACACACACAGAGTCACAGTCACAGTCACAGTTGGATCCAGTAAGAATTGTTTTCCTGAAGTTGAATCAGGAAAATAGGAGAAGACAAAGGCCTTTGTCTCTCCTTCCTCACAATTGTCATTAGACCCTGCCTCTGCTCCTAGTCCTTGTTAACCTAGTCTGGTTAAATACTGCTGTCCCAGAAAATTACCATAATCTAATTGGCTGCCAGCAGATTGCTTGTCTTTTATACTGGGAATTGAACCCAGGCCTGTGCATTGAGGTGCTGAAGCGTAGTATCCCAGCTTTTTTAATTTTTAGACAGACAGTTGTCACTAAGTTTCCCAGGCTGGGCTTGAACTTGGAGTTCTGCTTCAGCCTTCTAGGATGCAGGGATTATAGGTGTATGTGTCATGCCTGGCCAGGTTCTGCATCTTAAAACTCTCTTACATTCTATTCAAGGTGCCATGTATTTAAGCTACTCCATTTCATACCTTATCTGTGCTTGAGGGGGAAGCTTAAACTCTCCACCAGGATTACTGCTTTAGCTTTAAACTATTTTTTCTATTTCTCTCAGAGACTTCCCATGTTAATCTTCTAGTTTAGAATGAAACACAAGCCCTTTTCCTCTCAAAGTGTAATAGTTGGGTTTTAAGGCTAATTAAATCTTTAGAAAGGACAGTATATGTACATCCTCCCCCCAATTTCTGGGGCATGGGCAAAGAAAGAATATGATAATTAGCTATTCTCTCTCTCTCTTCTCTGTCTCTCTTAGACACAGACTAGCTATGCAGTTGAGGCTGACCTTGAGCTCACTTTATAGCATAGTCTGGCCTCCAACTCACAGTGACCCTCCTACTTCAGCCTACTGATTGCTGGGACTACAGGAATATGCTACCACAGGCCTTTTTCAAGATAATGTTAATATTAAAAGTAGCCTGCCAATAAATAGTTTATATTAGTTTCCTGTGCTTGCACCATTTAAATACTTATGCCATTGGGAATATACCCATGAACAGGGCAGGACCTCCACCCCACTCCCCTATTTTCAAAAGCAACTTACATTATAGTGAGGGATATAAACATAAATAGTAGAAATACAAAATTATGAGTTTTAGCCCTGTGCTATGAATATGATAAAGTGAGGTCCATTGTAGGGAGAGAGGAGATTGGCTTAGTTAGGATAGTTGGGCAGACACCCTGAGGAGGTGCTCATGGTGCGACCTGAATGCTAAGGAGCTTTTGCTGGGGACAGTGAGTGAAGCTTTTTACACTGCCCTTATTTTTAGACCACTGGCCATCAGAAAGAATCTAGATGTGCTGGTTTACACCCTCTGATAGCTAAATGTTGATATTTTAAGATACTGTGATTTGCTTGATGAGCAAGTAAACTCATATCAGTTACTCCAATTACTACCCTGAATTTCTTGTGGTTTACTTAGGTGCAAAAATAGACTTTAAATTTCTGTTTAGAATTTGAAGTTTAATTCAGTGGCAACACAGGGAGTGGGTCTTTCAGCTTAGTGGAAATTAGGATGTGCACCAAATAGATGATTTCAGAAACAAATGTCCTCCTGAGTTTGAATGCAAATGTGTGTTTGGTAGCATAAGCTTTTTTTTTTTTTTTAAAACTAATTAGGTCTTTTTTTTTTTTTACATTTATTTATTGTGTGTGTGTGTGTGTGGCCAGCTCAGCCCACCAGGGGGCACGGCAGGCTGGCATGTGGTGCTGGGGGATCGAACTGCGGTCCCTGTGCTTTGGCAAGCCTGCTCCAAGTAGGTGCTTTAGACCACTGAGCCATCTCTCCAGCCCAGCATAAGCTTTTAGAAAAGGAAAATGAAAAGTGAGAGATATGCCTAATTTCAAGTAGCTTTCTGTATATTTATGCCTTTTGCAAAAAAGATTAATTCATTATGGTATTAGGTTCTTTTTTTCCTTTTTAAAAATTAGTACATGTTTATAGTATATAATCATCATGGTATTAATCAAAAGAAAAGTAAAAGAGATATATGGGTATGGTGGCACATTCCTGTAACCCCAGTACTTGGGAGGCTGAGGTGGGAAAATCACCAGACTTTGAGGCCAGCCTGGGTACATAGTGAGTGAGGTCAAGGCCAGCCTGAAGTACATATAGCAAGACACTGTTTCAAAAAGCCAAAACAGCATGGTGGCATAAAGTTATAATCCCAGCACTTAGGGAGCTGAGGCAGGAAGATTTCTGTGAAGTTGAAGCCAGCCTGGGCTATATAAGCTATTTTTAGGTCAGCTGTACTACTTAGTGAGACCCTGTCTCAAAGCAAAAGATGGGGGCCAGGGAGATAGCTCAGCAGAGTAAGTGCTTGCCTGGCAAGTGCAAAGGCCTGAGTTCAGTCCCCGGCTCTGGAAAAAAAAATTTAAAAAAAAACCAACAAAAAACCAAAAAGATGAAAACAAGTGAGAAAGAGAGGTAGGTATAGGGAAACTTAAGGAAAGCTCTGGCCACTCATGCTGAGATTAGAAGTATAAGTTGTTCCTAGACTCATGAAGCTTTGTTGGCTTGGACATAGCCGCTTTGCCTGGGCAGTTTATATAAGACTATAACACTGGCATCTTCCCTTGGCAGATGGCTCAATCATAAAGGAGTGAGACAGAAGCGCCTGAATGCGTGGCTTGGAATCAAGAATGAGGATGCCGATGAGTAAGTTCTCCCTGAGGCTTTGGGTCGGGGGCTTTGGTAGCAGTGGGACGCAGACTGTCCTTGTGTGTGCTGGGAGTCATTTGCTGATACTGAATCAGGAACTGCGCAGCTCCTTTGAGCGAATTGCCTGACGGGCCTTTGAATGCGCACCAGCCACGGGCTGCACGCGTGCTGCTGCTCAGATGCTTGTGTCCCAGCTTCCCAGCGGAAACACGCGGGTTCTGTGCTTTGTGTTCCCCTGTGGATTAGGAGGTTGTTAAAACAAAACAAAACGAAACACTGATTAAGCATAATTTTGCTTTGCTATTTTATGGTTAAAGATATAGAAGATCACTTATGAATTTGCTTTTAGGGATAAAGGTGTTTTATTTAGGGGCTGGGGAGATGGCTTAGTGGAATAAGTGCTTCCCTGGCAAGCGCAAGGGCCTGAGTTCAATCCCCGGTTCTGGGGAAAAAAAAAAAAAAAAAGTTTTATTTATGAATTTGCCTTTAGGTAGAAATTATTATTAAAAACATTTTTAATATTTAACTTTTAGGGCCTATTTTATCAGTGAAGAAGATGAAAACCTGCCACATTATGATGAGAAAACCTGGTTTGTGGAGGACATCAATCGGGTGCAAGCAGAGGACTTGCTCTATGGGAAACCTGATGGCGCTTTCTTAATCCGGGAAAGCAGCAAGAAAGGCTGCTATGCCTGCTCTGTGGTGTAAGTCTTCTTTGTGAAAAATGAATTAGGAAAGATGATATCTAAAATTATCTTGGGGAGTTAAATTTACAGGATAAACAATTCACTTAATTCTTCAGTAGTGTCCTGTATGCCTAACTTGGGTTTCCATGATCAGATTAGGGAAGTCTTCATTAAATAGTACTGTTTTTCCTTCATTAGAGAAACTGTATCTAAATTTTAAAATGGAAGATTAATCCATTGATGTAGTGATAGAAAATATGGGTGTATTTTCCTTAAGATAATTTTATGACTTTTTTTTTTAAAGACTCAGAGACTGAGGTTGCATGATGAGATGATGAGATGCCATCGACAGAGTCCAGGCCTGGAAAGGAAATAGGATGATCACGAGGGCAAACTGTGGGACCAGAGACAGAGCACTCAAATCTGGGTTCTGCTGCTGCTTTGCCTAATTTTTTAATCAGTAAAAGAAAGATGCTAATCAAAGTATCTGCTTTGGGGGTTTTCCAAGGATTAAATAACTTAATATGCACAATATAATATGCTTTGACATTGCTGGTACATAATAAGTGTTACCTACTAATACTGTTAGGAGATAATGATGCTAAAGACGGACATGGCAGAAGGTAAGCGAAGATGACAAAGCAACAGTGCCCTCAAAGAGGGTAGGTGGAGAGGACAGAAGAAAGAGAGCCATAGTGCCTGTACTCAATGCTTCACATTTTGCCTTCAGTTTTCTATCTATGTCATAAATTCAGAATTTGAATCCAAATTTACCAGCTTTCAAAACCCACATATTTGGGGCCGGGGAGATGACTCAGTAGAATAAGTGCTTCCCTGGCAAGTGCAAGGGCCTGAGTTCAATCCCCGGTTCTGCCTAAAACAAAAAACAAAAAACATATTTTAGCTGCACCAGGCTTTATAAAATTTTTATAAAATATCTGAGATAAATAGAATGATGAAATGGGTATCATTAGTAGACTGTGCACATGAAAAACTATTAATTCTCATGGGAGAAAAGTTTATTGGGATGTTTTAGAGAAGACTCAATAGGGGCCAGGGAGATAGCTCAGTAGAATAAGTGGTTGCCTGGCAAGCGCAGGGTCCTGAATTCAATCCCCAATACCACAAAAAAAAAAAAAAAAAAAAACAAAAAAAAAAAAAAAAAAAAAAAGGAAAGGTTCCATGAAGACTCATTAGAGCCAAACTGTGAAAGAATAAATGATTATGTCTGGGCAAAAGTGGGGAGAAGTGGAAAAATGAATTGGATTACTGTCATTCCAAGAGGAAACTGCTTGTAACATTTCTCTTTGACCTGGGCTTCTCAGGTTATCTGAGTGGAAGTGTTAGAAGAGGGTTATTTTGTAAAATTTGGGTTCTTTTATGAATACTAAGAAGGGGCCAGGAAGATGGCTCAGTGGAGTAAGTGCTTCCCTGGCAAGTGCAAGGGCCTGAGTTCAATCCCCGGTTTCACCGAAAAAAAGAATACTAAGAAAAGGAAGGTGGTAAGCTCAATTTTTTATTCTTACTACAGGTTGTTGTGTTGTTGGTTGGCAGCCTGTGGGTTAAGGACTTGGCTGTGGAAGGCACTGTCCATCAGCTTTGCTAATCCTGAGAAACAAAGGAACTCTTGGAGAGCTGTCTTCATGTTCTCCTTCCCTTAGCAACAGTCTCTTCCATAGCAGTATATAGGTTTCCCTTGCTTGTGAAAATTGCCCCACTTCGTATTGGAGTTCAGATTGAGGATAGTTAGGGAAAAGAGAGGTTGGCACTGTAAAGATTTCCAATTGTTCACCACCATCCATTGATCTCCCAGTATACTTTGGACATTTGCTGAAGTAGGGATCTGAATAAGGTCAGTTCAGAAGAATCTCATAGCAAATTTAAAATAATCATATTGAGGTCTGATTATAAATACAGTGAAGAGCCAATGAGATAGTTCAGCAGACTAAGTGCCTGTTTAGGCAAGCGCAGGGACTGGGGTTCGATTCCTAGTACCACATGCCACGCCGGCCCCATCCTTGGGTGTGCTGAACAGGCCACTGAGAAGGGGCATGGTGGCACATGCCTGTAATCCCATCTCTGGGGAGGTTGAAAACAGGAGGATCATTATGAGTTTGAGCTGCGTAGTGTGACCCTGTACCAAACACATTCAATAAATAAATACAGTAAATGTATAAAATTTTAAAAATTATTACTGTAAAAGGTACATTGCCATTAACCCCCTTTCAGATTCTCTTCCTATCTTTGAACACATTTATCCCATCATTCTTACCACTTTCTGAAGCAGTTTTGGAAGTCCTTCTTTATAAGCGTCTTTAGTTGTGCTGTTGTGGCCGCCTTGATGTCCTCAATCAATTGAAATGCTTTACCTTTCCATGGGCAGTCTGACTTTGGGGAAGACCCCGAAGGGGCATGGTGCCAGATACAGTGAATAAGGCGGATGATGGTGCACCATAGTGTTTTTACTTGGCAGAAATTGCTGTATCAGAAGCTCTGTGTGATAAGGAGTGTTGTCATGATGGAGCATGAAACTGTCCATTTCTTAGTCCACTTTCGATTTACATGATTTCTTATATTACTTAGAGTTCACTGTAGTGTGTGTAGTGCAGACTGAACTTGTACAATTCCATTCAGGTAAATTGATGCACTTTTTTTGCATGAGGAGAAAGGATGGTTTCTTGCGAGAACTCTGAAATGTGGTCCTGGGAGCATCATCGTAGACCCAAGTTTCATCTCCTGTGGTGACATTTCTTAGAAAGCTGCAGTCTGAAGTAGCACAATTCCAGGGAAGGTGTTGGTTGTGACCCATGGTTTATAGCACACTCCAAAACATGTCTTGTCTCAGCCATTGCTCCCAACCAACTAACGCACCAAACAAGTTGAAACTTGGCATACACATTAGTAAGGCTCAAATGCTGCTGCTTATATTGAAGATCTCTGCCTTTTTGTTGAATGGCACATGGCAGTGGCATCAGATTGTGACACATTTTACATGCTTATATCTGGTAATCCAAGCAACTATTTTAAAGACAGCAACATGCAACGTAACAACCATTGTTGAATTCCTATCATCTTGTTTTCTTTAATTTGGGGGCTGGGGAGATGGCTCAGTGGAATAAGTGCTTCCCTGGCAAGCGCAAGGGCCTGAGTTCAATCCCCGGTTCTGGGGGAAAAAAAATCTGTATTGTTTCTAATATCATATATTTTTATTCTCTTTAAAATAAAATCATGTTTCATAATAAGACATTAAGATTCAGCTCACTTCCTTTTCTACTTTAATTTGTTTATATCATAAAGAAGCATATGAAGTAACTAAACTCTCAGGCTTTCTCAGACTAAAGACCTGCAATGAGCAATGCATGTACAGAAAGTCAGGTAGAGAGAATTCGTAATCCTTTTTTTTGTTTTGTATTTTAGGAAAGGGTCTACAGGGTGTTCAGGGTGTTCAATTCACTACTAGGTCAGATTCATAGTGATCTTTTTTTTTTACAGGGTGCTCAGGGTCTCACTACTAGATCAGACTCTAGTGATCCGCCTGTTTACAGCCTCCCAAGAACTGGGATTATAGGTGTGTGCCACCACGCCCTAGTCTCAGTTGTCATCTCAGGATGCCCTGGGGGTGGGGCTGGCACCACAGGCCCCTGCCTGCTTGCAGGCACTTTAATCCACTGAGCTATTTGGCCAGCCCTAATCCTATTGTTGTTTTCCTAGCAGTGCTGGGAATTGAACTCTGGCTCTTTGCACCAAGTTACATACCAAGCCCTTTAAAAAATAGTTCTATTTTTGACATGTCATTTTGCTAAGTTGTCAGGTTATTTATGCTGGGCTTGAACTTTTCATCTTTTGGACTCAGCCTTCCAGAGTGCTGGGATTACAGGTGGGGCCAATGGAGGGAGAAATTTTTTATAAGAATAAAAAAAGAGGGCTGGTGAGATGGCTCAGTGGTCTAAAGCACCTACTTGGAACAAGCTTGGCAAAGCACAGGGACTGCAGTTCAATCCCCCAGCACCACATGCCAGCCAGCCCGCCCCCTGGTGGGCTGAGCTGGCCACACACACACACACATACACACACACACACATTAAAAAAAAAAAAAGAAGAATAAAAAAAGATATAAAGAAATAGTTATATGTCAAGAATTTAAACCACCTATATTTATTGTTGGGCAAATTTCTGGAAGCACACAAACTCCCAAAACTGATTCCAGGAAATTAGAAAATCTAGAAATAGAAGAAGGAGTTGAATTATTAATTAAAAAAAAATTAGGGCCAGCCAGGTAGCTCAGTGAACTAATGCACCTGCAAGTACAAGGGCCGGGGTTTGATCCCCCATCCTGCATGCCACACCGGGTCTGCCCTGGGGCGTGCTGAGACAGTGACTGAGGCTGGGCGTGGTGGCACATGCCTGTAATCCCAGGGCTTGGCAGGCTGAAAACAGGAGGATCACTATGAATCTGATCTGTGTAGTGAGATGCTGTAGACCTTATACTAAAAAAAAGAAAGAAAAACAACAAAAGCAAACCCCAGGTCCCGGTGACTTTACTGGTGGACTTTTACTACATATTTAAAAGAAAAATACTAAAAAGTAAGTTCAAGGCCAGTTTGAACCACATAGTGAAGCCACATTTCAAAAAGACCAAAAATAACAAACAAGCACCAATCTTTTACCAACACTTCTAAACAATAGAAGATATTCTACAGCAATTCCTCATGTAGTAACCTCCCTATTTAACAATTCTTTGTACTTAGGACCATGATGTGATGTTCAGATTTACAACCCACTGCTTGGACTTACTACCTATCTTTTTTTTTTTTTTTTTTAACAGTTCTTTACATCTTGTTTATAGACCCTCAGTATATTTTGTATAGTATGACTTGTTTATACAGTGCTGTAATTCTTGCTGATTGTACTATAAAGCTCTGTAGTTTTATGTTGTTACACATTATAGGACTGTATATAAGAATTATGCAAATGAAAAGCAAAGTCATCAAGTTGGAATTTCCTTTGACCATTTCTTTGCTTGTTTGTTTGGGGTTTTTTTTGGTAGTACTGGGGATTGAACAAGAGACCTTGTGCTTACCAGTCACTTGCTTATGCTGCTGAACTATCTCCTCAGCCTGTTTCAAATATTGTATATAATGTTAAAGACAGTTTCTCATTTAGCAACTTAGTTACAGGAATGGAACTCAATCATTGAATGTGGAGTGTCTAGAATTCATTGTATGGAGCAGTATTACCTTGACACCAAAACCAGACACAGATATCAGGAGAAAAACAGTTATAGAGCTTATCTGCAACATTCAACAGGGATATGGCTTTTGAGAATTTTTTTTTCTTGCATATTAGGAATTGAACTCAGGACCTTGCGCTTGCCAGGTAGGCACTTGTGTCCTGGCTTTCCAGGATGTTAAAAAAAATAATGAATGATTAGCAAGGGAGCTCCAGTACCATATGAAAAATATTAGATACCATGACTGAATAGGATTCATCCTGAGAATGCAAGGGTGCTTCAACCCAAGAAAAGCAGTTAATGTAATAAACCATATTAATGAAGAACAAAAATTACATGATAGCCTCAATAGATTTGGAAATGGTTTTTGCAAAATCCAACATTTTTTCATGTTTTTTTTTTTTTTTTTTTAAATTCTGAAGAGGGGCTGGGGAGATGGCTCAGTGGAATAAGTGCTTCCTTGGCAAGCGCAAGGGTCTGAGTTCAATCCCCAGTTCCGCAAAAAAAAAAAAAAAAAAAAAAACCAAAAAAGAAGCCAGCAATTGGAGAGAATTTTTATCCTCTGATAACAGTGTATCAGTAAAAAACCCACAGCTAATGTTATACTTAATGATGAACAACTGCTTGCCAGAATGCCCACTCCTAGCATGGCACTGCTCGTGCTCATTGTATAGGAGGCTTCAACCAGGGCAGTTAGGCAAGAAGAAGAAAAGATATTTAGATTGGGAAAGTAAGAAATAAATTTAGAAGTGAGTTCATAAAGGTTACAGGTTACACAATACAAATATATTATTGTGCCTTTCTATATGTTAGCATGAACAATCCAAAAATGAAATGAGACTGGGTGTAGTGGCACATTCTTATAATTCCAGCACTTGGGAGGCTGAGGCAGGAGGATCATAGTATGTTTGAAGCCAGTCTATACTACATCATGAGACCTTGCCTCAAAAAAACAAAACAAAAAAACAAATCCCCCCAAACAACAAAAAAGACATGCCATTTATAATAGCATCAAAATGATGAGATAATTAGGAATAAAACAAAAGAATTGTACAGCGAGGGCTGAGGAGATAGCTTGGTGGAATAAGTGCCTGCCTGGCAAGTGCAAGGTCCTGAGTTCGATCCCTGGCACTGCAAAAATAAATGAATAAATAAATAAATAGAATTGTACAGCAAAATTACAAAACATCATGGAAAGAAGTTAAAGAAGACTTTAATAAATGAAAAGACATCCTGAGTATTAAGAATACTTAAGACAGCAATAGTTTCCAGGTTGATTACACACATTCAGGATAATCCTATAAAATCCCAGCTGGATATCTGCAGATGATAAGGTGTTCCTGAAATTCATATTAAAAGGGAGGGCACCTAGACTAGTCAAAACAATCCTGAAAATGTAGAAACAAATTGTAGTACTCACACCTCTTGATTTCAATACTTAGTACAGACATACAGTAAGACCTTGAGGTCCTAATGTAAGGATAGAAAATACTGGTCAGTGAATAAAATGGAGAGTTGAGAAATAAAATCCTTAGATATATGGTTGTTTTAATGTATTTGTGGGCAGGTGTATAAGAGGGTGAGGGGAACACAATTTACTAAGCTTTGGTTGACAAACGCTTCTGAATCTCCTTAGTATAACAACTGCTGTCAGATTTCTGACCATTTATTGTTCCTCTATCTATTGCTGTCTGCCTTAATGTGTTTACTGTGGTATATCATTGCAGTGCCGACGGGGAAGTGAAGCACTGTGTGATCTACAGCACTGCTCGGGGATATGGCTTCGCAGAGCCCTACAACCTGTACAGCTCACTGAAGGAGCTGGTGCTCCACTACCAGCAGACATCCCTGGTTCAGCACAATGACTCCCTCAACGTCAGGCTTGCCTACCCTGTCCACGCACAGATGCCTTCGCTGTGCAGATAAAGAGAGCGTGATAGCATTTTTCTAGTTTTTATTAGACTATGTGGGCATTCTTTCTACATGGACTGCTTGTTTTGCACAAGAAGTGATTTTGTGAATGTGACGTGGAAAGGCCAAGCAGTAGCTGGCCAGGATGGGGAAATAAGGGGCCTGGGGTCTCTGGGACTTAGCAGTGCCACTGCACTGAAATACGAAGATGGAAGCAGATGCTGTTTTTTGGAAAGTCTGTTTCATTGGGGGCGTTTGACTCTATTTAGCCAGGTACCCTCACCAGAACAGACTGGGCTTGAGGGTAGAGGGTGGGATTCAAAAACCTCTGAAGAGACAAGATCTCTTTTGGTCTTCAACTCTGTTGGGAGTTCTGATAGTCACATTTTTTCCCAAAACAAGGTTGTCGGTGATACAGTGTAAAGGCAACCAAAGGAAAATAGGGAGACTTGTGATTTCATTTAAAAAAAAAAACTAAGCCAACAGGGTAAAAAAACATACCCTGCTCCCCGCAAAAGAAAACACAGATCCTTCAATTGAAGGTACTTTTATTTCTTATAGACATAGTTAACAGCTTAGGCTTTACCATCTCATTATCTGCCCTCTCTAAAGAAACATATTGTTCAGAAACCAACAAAGCAATGTTTGTTGCCAGACCAAGGTCTAAACAGAGAAGGTGGCACTAGTAGTTGGATGCAGGCTTCTCTACCAAAACTTGAAAATAAGAGAACTAGAAATGTGACTTAGCAAACACTAAAATCTGTCAGTGCATTTTCTTCTGTCCTACTTTGTATCTGAGATGAGGAATAGCATTCTTTTTGTGCAGATAGTGAACTTTGAATCATAAAATGAAGTTGGTGCTTGTGTGGTGTTCCCTTAGCCTAAGGAATGGTCTATTGTTTGAAACCTTTGTAACTTGTTTGTATGAGTAAAGAAGAAGTGCAATCCAGTGCTTTTAGATGGCTTGATATACCAAATATAGAAAGACATTCTTATATGTGCTTCCCCATTTTTAAAGGCCCTGCAAGAGGCCAGGTGTGGTGGTGCATGCCTATAATCCCAGCACTCTTGGGAGGTTGAGGCAGGAGATCACTGCAAGTTCAAGGTCAGCCTTGGCTGAGTTTAAGGTGAGTTTAAGGTCTGCCTGAACTGTAAATTGTGAGACCCTGTTTAAAAACAACAACAACAACAAAAAAAAAAAAAAAAAAAAAACAGGCCCTGCAGGAGCAATATGGCTTAAGTTAACATGGTTTAATTTCCCTTCATCTCCTGTGCTTTGCTGGTAGAACTGGGGAGTCATAGGTGGCTAAGAAGAAGGAATCACATTGTGTCACAGACTGCAGAAAATCAGTTCTAGGGCCCTGTTTTTGCAGGAAAGAGAGAAGGTGACTTTGAGTTTAGAATGTTAGTAGAAGCCATCTGGAAGCTCTTGTCTTTGCCTTTTTGCTATCTTGCCATTCAGGCAAAGTGCAAATGCCCTCATGCTCCAGTGGTTGTGATTTTAGGCCAGGAATCTTCTGCTCCATATGGTTTCAACCTTTTAGCTGAGTGAAGCTGGCTGAACAGAGTGAAGGGTAGGCATCAACTCCTGACTCCTTTATGCCCCACGCTCATTTGACAGAGTACAGCTGCCCTTGAACCAGTCCTGGAACCATAATGTGCTTGGTGTGAGTCAACCATTTGAGCTAGGGCTGTGCAGTCAGCCATCTGGGCTGAGCTACAGGAGTAGCCAGTACAAGTTCTTGGTCTATAAGGCTTATATAGGCAGGAAAGCTCTTGTTTGGGGGCTGAAAGGTATTACTTTATCTGAGCACTTACTTGGGTGACAGTGGCTAGAATGAACCATGACAGATTAAAAGTTTTGGAAAAATTTCCAGTTTCTAACAATGAAGATAGGAAAAAAAGGGTGTGCTTTTTATTTTTCCTTGTTCATGTTGGAGTTTCAGGATTGGATAAGGTCAGGAAAAATGAACCCCTCCATTATTATTCTGACTTAAAAAGCCCTAAACTAACAGCCAGCACATTGTTTCCCTAAACTGCCAGATTAAAATCTAGCTGAAAGTTTTACCGAGGATGCCAGGCTAATGGCTGCTGCCATGCCTAAGTGGTTTGCACCTGATGTTGAACCTATTTAATACCAGTTGAGAGTCAAGATTGGGTGCAAGGAATCTCTCCTATACAGTTCTTGTGTGTTCTAAATATCTTAAATATAGCAGGATATAGCCCTGCAGTGTTGGTGAGTGTGAGTCTGGACCTTGCTGACAGACACAGGCTATATAGGGTGAGCAGGTGCTGTGTATCTATGCTTGGGCTGGGTTATGGAGAAGGGATGCTGTTCTGTCAGTTGTTCATTCCTTTTTACCCCTTTTTTCAAATCTTGAATTTATTGCTTTGTAGACTCTAAGAACCAAGACGATTTGAGAAATTGGAATTTGTCCTTTCTCTCCATTTGTCACATGGTTTGCTTGATCCTGAACCAGTGAAAATGACATTGGGGCCAGTATACCAACCACTGGGCTCCAAGTATGTTAGGAGCAAGATGCTCCTCCTCCGTCCTGTGGCTTGAGAGCAAGTCTTGGCTTTCTTAGGAGTCTAATCTACATCATATCCCTTGATTTGGGCCCTGGGAATCTCTTGGTATCTTATCTGCAATCTTACTGTGACAGAAGTAGAGACATAGTGTGAGATCAGAGGGGTTCATCATTCTGGCTAAATAAGCCAGCCTTCAACCTGAAAACAGAATGGGGATGGCTAGACACAGGTCCTAGGCCCTTCCTTTCCAGGTGGCACTTTTATCAGAAGACGTCATCTGGCATCTTCCTGGCCATAGGTACCAAAAATTTGCCATGGCTTGGTAGGTTGCCTGTGTTCTTGTCACTGACTAGGCCAAGGATGAAGACTTCTAAACATTTCTACTCCCTGTCCCAAGACATTATGGGATTTTCCATTTACTTTAGACCTCAGACACTCTGAAAAAGCTTTAAGAGCCAGTTTGGTGTCTTCCATGTTTCCTGTTCTTGCTGCAAGAAAACAACTTTGTGTTCTGTTGAGCCAGGAATTGCATCTGGGCAAATCCTGTTTTCTAAGTTGTTCTGTTACCAGTTAAGACTCCAGAGTAGGCCTTAGAAACCAGAGGGTCCAAAGGGGACCTGCATATAGGTCTCTTGCTGCCAATTGCTCACCTTGATCTCCAGCCACTTGTGACAGACAACATTGTTTCCTTACAAATTCCAGCATGTGATTTTGGTGCCGTTGTTACTTGTGAAAAATCTGTTTTTCTGTTGTCTTTGATGTAGTCCAAAAAGATTTCATGTAGTTTACATAAAAATATGATTCACAAGGAAGCCACCTGTGTGTCTTGTGTTGGGACAATTCATACTGTAGTTCCTAGACCACTTTTGCAAATTGTTTGTGTCACCAGATGTGTTCAGACATTGCTGTGCAGTTGTGGGAAGGGCGGGGGAAGGTAAGTGGTAATAACATACTGGTTGGGCATTTTGTTTTTTACCTTCCCCAAGAGGGGATAGTCTGGCCAATTTGCTCCGTAATGCAATAAAGACATTGTAATAAAAACACTTTCTTGTCTTCATGCTATGAAGGGGGTAGGTTGGGGGCAGGCTTGGGAAGGGGACAAGATAAGCATTTGAGGGTGCTGAAAATCATTAGAATGCACCTCTTTGGTAAGCACCAAAAGACAAGTCCTAGGGCTGAACTGGGCCCCCAGAGGTCATGGCATGGTGTTCTCTCCACCCAAAACAGGACATAGACTCAGATATTTAGTGAGATTAAAACAGAGCCACTGGGCTGGTGAGATGGCTCAGTGGTCTAAAGCACCTACTAGAACAAGCTTAGCAAAGCACAGGGACCGCGGTTCAATCCCCCAGCACCACATGCCAGCCAGCCCCGCCCCCTGGTGGGCTGAGCTGGCCACACACACACACACACAATAAATGTAAAATAAATAAATTAAAAAAAAAAACAGAGCTACTTTCTGCTCTCTTCCCATTTGTTTACTGGTTCTCTTCATGTAGTTTTGCTCAGAATTAGAAGTGTTCCTACATTGTATCTGGAGGCTGGGGCTCCTCTTGCCCCACACTCCAAGGAACTTTAGGGTTCTGATTTACGGGGAACATAATTGGCACACAGCCTCTTACCTGGGCAGTGCACCTCTCAGCCATGAGCCTGTGGCCTCACATGTGTACCCAATTACAAAATCAGATTGAGCAGGGGAAGAACCAGTGGTTCTGAATGACCTTGCCTGTGTTCTTCCTCTGCACTATTTTTATTTATTTAAACTAGATTTTAAACTTCAGGACTGTTGATGTGAAGCTGGGGATAGTGGTAAACTGTAAAACCAACAGTCCAGAATCTGAGGCAGGATGTTTGTTGCAAATTCAGGGTCACCCTGGACTATATTGTGTGTTTAAGGCCAGCCTGAACTACATAGTAAGACTCTATCTCATAAGATTAAAAAAAAACTATTACTATGAACTGTGATGACTTCTTTCAATCTTGAGTTGTTCCCACTTACATGCTTGGGACATTGAGATTTTGAACCTCTTGCCTAGCTTCTAAACTCATTGGATGCTTACGTGTCTCACCTGCACTTCAGGCTTGTTCACAGAGGAAAAAGTTGAATTCCTTCTCACCATCTGCCAGTTGCCACATAATTCCTTTCCTTCCCAACTGTTAAATTATGAAGGGGTTGTAGTGCTGAATTCAGAGTTGCTACCTGGTGGTCCTAGCCCTCATTCTATTGTTTAATAGTTGAATGGAATTCTAATTCATGTAACTGTCAGAAATAAGTCACCATCCTTGATAGCTCTGCTTATCTATATGAAACCCTTTACCAATCTGTATTAATTTTATCTTGAATATCAATGAGAGTATCTGATCTCTATTCACTATGTCTAACCCTAATGCCAGAGTCCTCCCTTCCATTCATGCTTTCAAGTTCAGTTTCATATAAACCAGTTATTTGCAAAATACAAACCTGAACCTGTGTAAAACATTTAATAACTTTTCTTCTACAGTGCATCACAAAATTCTTTTTAAAAGAGATGGAATTTATGCTGTGTTGCTGAGTCCAAACTCGAGCTCAAGTGATCCTCTTGCTTCAGCCTTTAAAGCAGCTGGTAGGACAGCCACTGCACTTGGCTTAATTACAAAACTCTTAAAATGACCTGGTATCTTCCAGATTCATTTTCTACCATGCCCTTCACTTGCTGTCCTCTCTGCTAATCTCAATGGCCTCCGAGAGGGCCTTTTCATTCTGCACATTCCCTGGGCAATCTATTTCATACAGCCCTTCCTGATGGGTAATTCTGCATCCTTTCCCACAGTGCATCCTTCCTCCTTCCCTCAACTAGAGCCGACTCCATACTGTCATTTTACTTAAGGCTAACACCCTGGGTCACCCTATGGATTCCAGTCTAGCCTGTCTACACAGTATTCAAGGAACTTCCTAAACCACAAATCTGAAAGTTTCCTTTTGGAAAAATCCTCAATCCTTGTGGGATAATCCAGCAGTGTTTCTCAAAGGCAGCGCCACCAGCACTTATAGTAGGTAGAGTTCCCCCCAACCCCATCTTCCTAACAGTGTTTGGTTATCTGGCCCTCCCCACACTTGTGGTCTGGTGTGCTTCTGACCAGATCCTCAGTCACTGGCACTCTCTTCTTAGCTATCCTCCAGGTGGTGATATGTGGGCCATCTTCCCATTGTTCAATGCAGGCAGCCCACGGTCAGCTGAGTAACTGGAGGAGGAAGTTGAAGGTGCTGAAGTTTGAAATGCTTTCCACCCCACGTGTGGGCTGTGCCATCATGGGAATGCCTGCCCTCTGGAAGCCACTACCCTCTCTATCTAGGACAGCAAAGAGCATCAGGATTCCATAGGTGCCAGCTAGTGGCCTTGAGGTGTATTATTTCCTGGTCTTCAAGCTGCCCGATGCCTCACTTCCGGACCTAGATGTTGGATTGTGGGGTTAATACAACAATCAGCATAAGATAGGTTTGCATTTCGGGGTTCCTCACAGACATTCCTCTTCTAGCCCGGGCACTCCCATTGACCTTGTCTCCTTGCCTTGGGATACGACTGTTAAAGAGTTCTCTCTACCTTGGTCCCACCATATTGTCCCCTTCTTTTGTGCAAATACAGTTGTACTTATTGAGGGCTGCAC